CAAATCATTGAGTAGACTGTGAGCCTCTCAAAAGCCGCGACTATATCCAATCCACCTTTGTATTCTTAGAATCAACCACAGTACCTGGCACATAGTAGGTACTCCACTAGTTGTTGATTGAAAGCAAAGCAATTGGTTTTTGTACCGTATAACAGACTAAGGGAAAGATCCCCATTGCACTCATGAATCAGTGGCCTCAAAACTTCCCCAAGAAACTGCAATGTGAAATTTAACATTTCAGGGCAGCAGTGTGATTTGCAATTTCAGAATCACAGACTTTATTGTGCTTCTTTAAATTATCATTATAGAAGGAAGGGGGAAAGATGGAAATTTAAAATCGTGTGCCCATGTTTTGTCAATTTTTAGAAGCAGGAAAAACATTTCAGTCCCAATAGGAACAGGTAAAACAACTGTGGACCCACAGAGACATGGAAAAACTGTTTCACAGCATTGTTTCCCCCAGACACATATTTTTTTTCTAACACAATGATTTTAGCAAAGGTTGGAGAACTGTTATGTGTTAGATGAAGAATATGTAATTAAACCCACCATTCTGAAAGAAAAGCTTTGTGTGTGCTTTTTTTTTTTTTTTTCATTTAATCTTCTATGCTGGGCTGGTAATTTTTTCCTGTCTCACACCTACTCAAAACCCAAGAGATTTGTCCTAGATGCCTGGCATAAATATAATTACAGTACAGTTCCTTAGTGCATAGTTCAATCATGGCAGACAACTATTGATTTATGTGTAAATCGGAATACACATAATTTTCTCTAGTCTGGGAATTGTTAAAATGCATTAACAGCCGAGGATTTCATGTTTCAGATATGGCAACAGTGGGGGTGATGCTTGTTTTGCTTTGTAATTTTTTTTCTTTTTCTTTTTTCTTTTCCCTCCAAGAACTGAGATAAGGCCTTTCTGAGCAGGAAAGCTCCACTGACTTGTTCTGACAAATTCTCATTCAATTTCACACTGGGTCACACACAATCAGAAGAAAGACATAGCTGTGACTGTGGGGAGAGTGAGAGGGTTGGGGCTGATTGCACACAAAGCTCTCTCCCTCTTTGCTTTTACAGGGACTTTGCTGAAGCCCTCTTTCTTCTCTTTCATGACTAAAATAACTTCTCCATACGAAATCTTTATTTAATGATCTCAGAAGATGTTTCTTCACGTTTTCCTTTCAATAGCAATAGTAATACCCAAAGTGTTCATTCCCTTCTCATCCATACAAAACACTCTCTGACTGCAAACAGACCCCATTTTAATGGAAAGGGGCAAAAACAGGCATGAGACCTGAATGTGATACTGACTCTGCCACAATCCTGGGGATGTCACGTACCTTTTCTGGGCTCCAGTTTTCTGTCTACAAAAAGGGGACTAGGCATCTCTGGTTTCCAAACTGTGCACTGTGGAAGTTTGGGGTATAGAGTAGAGAAGAAGGAACGGGTCTTGAGGACCCATTCTCACCACCACACTTTAGATACAACAGGTCAGTTCTTCTCTGTTTATATGTTGGATTTCTATATTAGGTTTTCCTTAGAAAAAAGATTTCACAGCCTTATAAGTTTGAAAAAAAATCTCTGTCTTTTCCAATTCTCGCCTTCCATGATTCTGTGACTTCTCTCGCTGACAACAGCTTCAATTTCCTGCAGTTCATTAAAGCAGACCGCTGTACAAATTGTGATGGTTTTCTTTAATATAACCACCTCCACCATCAAAAACATGAATTTATTTGGCATTCATTCATGCACAGTGCTATGCGGGTTACTTATTAACTCAAGCAAAGTTGATATGTTTTGTTTTCAATCTGAGAGTGTGAGTGATTTTATAGATTTGGGAAAAGAGAAATTTTGATAATTCTTTCATTGTGGTGTAGCTATTAAGCAGCAGAGGCAGAAATGGAAATGGATAATAACTTTGAAAATACTACTGTAATACAAACATAATGATCAACAAGCAATCAAAAGGTCTCTTCTGGAACCACGGTTGCCACAGGATATGTAAGCTTTCCTTGTAGAACCAAACAGGAAAGTATCATGGCTCTATGAAAATGAGTAACCAGGTTTCAGCAGCCATTCTAGGTGGGAGTGACTTTTCCCAGGAGAGGGGGTCTAAATACCTACCACCCATTACCACAGGCATAGGAAAGAAAACTGATCTTCCAGTGCATAGAATATAAACTTCAAAGAGCAAGCAGCTGCTGGAGTAGAAGGGGAAATAGAGCTTGGAGTGAAAACAGAGACCTGTAGCATTGCATAGCCACAGTCAGAATTTGCAACTCATGTTGGGAGAGAGCAAAGGCTTTCATTGAAATTAATTGATGGAGACCCACTATTTAGAATGCACTTTGAAAAATACTTAAGGAAAAATTAAGACTTAGCAATAAAGATCATAAAGTAAGAAGGGGATCTCTTAGGCCAGACCACAAAGAATCAAAAAAAAAAAAATGGACTATATTACCCAAGCCATACCAGGTAGTATAACCACTGGGTCTTCTGTGAGGAAGAACCCAAGATCAATATTGAAATCAACTTTTTTTGGAAAATCTTTTTTATATCATTATCCACCTACCTTGTTGAATAAACATTGTCATCAAGGCTAGAATGCAGTTTTGTTTTTAAAAAATCAAGAAGCTATAAAGAATAAATATTAATCGATCTCTTCTTTTCCTTTCATCTGTTTTTCCCTTGATTTTTCTATTTTGTGAGCTGGTTGGGCTAACAAACTGAGCAATTCAATTCTCCCCTGAGTCTTCAGATTCAGCACAATTCTTGATCTGTTGACATTTCCCAAAACAAAATGCCCAAACACCTCAACACTAGAATAGAATGTGAAAAAGATGCCTCCTGACAAAGAGAAACAGCCCAGGTCCTCTAGAGTTCAGATAATTTTGAGTGCACTAGTGGAGGGCTTTAAGATTCTGATAGTCTTATCTATAACCACAAATGATACAATTGGATTTCTTTTCAAATGTCACAGAAACTCCTAAGAAGATGCCCCATAGTTATTTAAAATCTATCATCCATCATGAAAGGTTTTAAAAAAAAATGTGTACCATGTAGCATTCAGTACCAGTGTAGTCATTCTACTGAGAGAGCATGTGATGAAAGAAAATCACCAGAAAGCAAGCAGTACATGGGCACAAGTCTGGCTACAGATGACAATTCGGTGGCTCCTGGAACTAATTAATGAACATCCTAAGGAGTCCGTTTAAATCTAACATTACTTGGTATAGTTGTTAGTGCTGTTTGCCCAATATTTCTGGTTCACCCTCTTGCCAGACGCAAGATAGGATTGCCTTTTCTGGCCCCTTTATGGTGTGTGGAGCCACGTGACAAGCTAGGATAGATGACTTGTGAGCACAGGGAAATAAGTCACTTCTAAGAAGGAGCATGTAATTATAATGCAAGACCTTGAAGAACTCTCTCGTCCCTCTGGCACAGTGACCAGAAGTGTTAGTGATGGAGACTGCTCCATCTATCTAGGTCTCAGAGCAATTCTGATGAACAGGCCACCCACCCAAGCCCTCCCCCACCTCCACTCCCCAAGTATAGACACACAATGAACATATAGCACAAGAAAGAAGTAAACCTTTGTTGTTTTAGGCTTCTGAGATTTGGGGAGTGTTTGTTGCTGCAGCATTACTTAGCCTATCCTAACTGGTACAATGATCCACTGGTTTACATCTCCTTGGTTCAGGAGGGATATGCACAAGCATGGACTAAACAAGAGACTCCAAGAGCTGGCCCATCATCACTTGGGAATCCTCCAAACCAAGGATTATGATAGATCTTTTAGAGGGTCTCAGGTTGAATACTCTCACTCTTCAACCCCACATCCCTAAACAGTTCTCTTAAGCCAGAGGTACACTAAAGGGTCTCTAGGCTTTCAAACCATTGTCCCATCAACTATGCTTCCATGGGTTGGGTTTACTCCCTGCCTTCTTTCCCCAAAATGTCTTGGACAGTAGATTCAACTACGAGAATAAAACAAATCCTGCAAAATGCCTTGAGGGACTTCAGAAGAGTAAAAGTTCTCTGTAGCTTCCATAGAATAGAAAGTTTGACAGGTTAATTCCCATTTTTTAGTACTAAAAAATGACATATCATTTGATAACATCTTAGCGTAGGATATTTTTCCTCACAAAGCTTTTATTTCAGGCTTTTCACAGCAGAATATTTGATAATTATTTTGCAATGATTTTGATGGGGAGGGAAATTCCTTTCATTTTCTGTTTACATTCACTGTTCATTTATCATAGCACTGGGTCATCATGATAACCACCTCAAACAGTAGGTCTCCTTGACATCTCACCATAACCTTGGGGGATTTGGGATTTTTACCCACTCTTTCCCCAGATCTATGATTTCAAGTTATTTCAAAGAACATTGAGTGCATTTCTTTAAAAAAAAAATTATTCTATCAAACAAGTAGAAACAGTTTCAAAAACCACCATTAACAGAAAGCTACTCGAAAAACAGAAAATGAAAACTGCTGATATACTGTTTTCTTTCCTTTTATTTTATTTTTTTTAAGCTGACAGTGTGAATAGAAACAACCCAAGCAAGACAGCCAGGTAAACCTTTTATCCACAGCAACCACAAGCTTAAAAAAAATGTTCTTTAAATACAGCCACTGGAATAGGGTTTATTATTTAGATGTTTGTTCCCTTCTGCTCTCCTCTTATGGAGTAATATGTTTTTTAAATGCCTAAAACCTTTCTTAGTACCTAAGAATTCCCCTAGATTTCATGAATTAATGCAAGTGGTAATCACAAGTGCAAATGAGTAATTGGTAGCACAAGTACCCATCTGTGCATGCAATTAACTGCCTTGAGCAAGTAATTGCCTGTGTTTACAAGAGCCTACTTAGAAACTTCAACTTAAGCATATATTTTTTGGAATAATTCTGCCATAACACACAGAGAAACTTTTACTTGGTACAAATACTTTTAAACAAGCAACCGAACATCCTATAATTTTTAGTTTTATAAAGATCATACCTCAGAAGCCACCCCCATAGTAATTAACTTCAGAAGAGTCTCACATTTCTAGATGTACATGCTCAAGGCATTTTCCAAACACACAGGCCATCTGTCCAGGGGAGCCCAGCTTGGATAATCCTCATGACGATTGCTCTCTAATCACCTCTAGGAGATTTCTGAAGCTTTGGGTAATTTTCTAATTAATTCACTCAACAAGTATTTGCTAAACACCAACTATATACACAGTGTTCTGTTCTAGGCTCAACACAGAATATAAAAATTAATTAGAACATGGTATTTTCTCTTAAGGGACTTATAATCAATTAGGAAATAGAAGACTTGAAGCTAATAATCCAAAACCCAAGTAGCTTTGTAATTCAAAGGCTACAAATGTGTACCTATTATTAATACCTTAGGAAGGCACACTAACCTGACAAAACAGGCATGTGTTTTGGGTAAAAATTCACAATTGCAACAGAAAGTATCTTTGGATGTGAGCCTTCACCAAGCTGTGTCCGTGGCCCCCTACTTCTGCATACTGGCCTGACTGCCTTCCCTTTGCAAGGTCACCCAATCTCCTTGATAGTCATCAACATTTTTCTTCTGCAGCTTTTGACTTTATTCCCCTTACCTGCTGCCAAAAGCATTAACTCATAGCTGTTCCTGGCCCTGCGCCAGCTGCTACTTCCTTGCTGTTGCTAAATGCCCTGTTGTTCCTCTCGTCACTGCCCTCCTTGCTTTAAATACCAACTATACACTGATAATTCCCAAATTAAGGTTTTCAGCACCAGCTCCCCTGAACCCCACACTCATCTATGTAACTGCCTTTTCAGCATCTCCACTTAGGTATTTAATAGTCATTTCAGACTATATTCCCTAAGGCCAACCCAAACCTGCTCCTCAGACCATTTCCCTATCTCAGGGATAGGCAGTCGCAAACCTTATAACCATCCTTGCCTCCTTTCTTTCTCTGACACTGGACATCCAACCCATTAGCTAACCTTTTTTACTCTACCCTGATAGATCCAAACTCCCACCACTTCTCACCACCACCACCACCATTACCATCCTGGTCCAAGCCACCATCACCTCTTGCTATATTATTGCAGTCACCTCCCAACTGGGCTTCCTGTTTCCACCCTAGCCTCTTTAGAGGTTATTCTTTCACTCTGTCATCAGAGTAGTCCTTTTAACAGTCAAATGATGTCAGTCTTCTTATCAAAACCCTTAAATGGCTTCCCATCTCACTCAAGAGTCAAAGCAGGCTTCCTTTCAAGAATCTACAAGATCCTTCATGATCTGCCCCACAACTTCATCTTTTTTGATCTCCTACACGACCACCACTCCTGAATCGTTTTGATTCAGCAAAACTGGCTTCCTTGTTGCTCCTTGCACACACCAAGCACACACCTGTTCTCACTCATTTGGATGGTCTTCCCACGTGTCTGTGTAGCTCATTCCTACACTTCTTTCAGGTCACCTTTTCAGAGAGATCTACCCTGAACACTGAGATAATACAATAATTCCTGCCCACTGCTCACTACCATGCTTCCTAGCCCCTTATCCCGTTTTTCTTTTGTCTATAAACCTTCTTCTATATAATCTACATTTATTTTCTACCTCCCATATTAGAATGCGAGCTCCATAAGGGCTGACATTTTGTTCTGCTAAGCTTTCTAGCATCTCAGTGCCTGCCACATAATTCCACGTGTGAATGAATGAATGAATGAACATCCCTTAGGTGGAAGAGGTTCCTCTTCCCATCAGAATTACGATTCTCATAAAGCTTTCAAAGAGGTGTTCTTGCTCTCAGTTTTTTCCCGTTTTGGGCAAAAAAAAAAACAAAACAAAAAAAAAACCACAACATTTCTCAGACTGACACAATTTGGAGAGTTCCTCTCAAAGACAATAAACCAGCATCCTAGGATGTACTCTAGTTTCCTCAAATCTCTTATCTCAGGTTGAAGTCCTTGCCTTTGAAGGATATGTCCCAAGAATGTGAGGGAGCTCATTATTTGAGTTTTGACCTCACAGCTCTGGACCCAAATTTCAATCACTGTCTTCTTCCTGTCCTCTCCTAGGTCAACCATCAGGTTGTCATGATGATAAGACATCTGATCAGCCAAAATCTCCTGCCTTAGGCCTCCTCAGGGAACCTCATTACACAAATGAGAAAATAAAATGAAAAAAAGTGAACTCTTTCACACAACCTCAACCTACCCTTCAATAAATTCAGGAAGGAACAACCTTAATTAACTCTGATCTCAGAATTTTAGATACTCAGCTTCCTCACTAGAAAAATAAAGCCCCATCTTCCTCACTGAATAGTTGAAGATACTAAGAAAGTGTGACTAAGTGGTTGCAAAATAGAAAGGGGTAAAGCTGTAGAATCCAGCCACTTAAAAAAAAGAGTACAAATGAAAAGGAAACTCTCCCAGATGCTAGGAGGGATTGTTTTTTAAATGTGCATGAATATGTGTGTTACATAGACTCTGCTCTGCCAAAATTAGGGTACCAATTTTCAAGATTTCACTTCATTTATTATTCCTAAGGTGGAAAAGTTTGAACCATGAGCAAACCTTAGCAAATACCAAATAAATTCAGCATAGGACTTTCAAGTAAGCTTACTTTTAAAATTATGGTTCAAAAATTTAATTGGCTGAGCATGTTATTATATATTTTCAAATTCTGTACCAATAATATTGTCCTCTATATTTTAAAATACATCCAGTAGATCACAGAACACAATCCTGCTGTTTAATAACAACAACAAGAGTTGAGGAAGAAGAGAATGGAAATAGAAGCATGAATTATTAAAACACATAAAGTTCTGTGTCACAAAAGTTCTGTAACTTAAATACTGACCCTTCTGCCTGAAAAAACAAAAACAAAAACAAAAAAACATGAATTTTTTTTTATAAACCTTTCTCAAAATGGAAAAACAAAGCTATGTTGGAAGAAAAAGAAGTAGGAAACAACAGGAGGTTCTTTTGCAATAAATAATCCTAAGGTTTGTGCTTCCATGCTAGAAAATCAGATAGCTGCAATGAAAGCACAATCACATGGGGTGTTCTGAGCAGTCAAATCACAGATTTTTCCCTTGAGTTCTGGCACTACAAAAAGGACGTTAAATAAAATGCCATGTGTATGTTCAAATTTTCATTTTAATTACCTCTTTAAAATGCTAGGATTTGGGGGCCACGTGGGAGTCATGTATATTTTCAATCACATAGGACTCAATATTTTAAATCATTAAATTCTCATTACACCTTCCTGCAGTTCATATGCTACCCAATCTATATTTAATATGATGTGTTTAAGTAACTTGCCTAATACCACTTGAGAAGTTTTTTAAAGAACAAAAATGAGACCTACAGCAACAGTTCTGCATACTAGCTGAGTGACTTTGGAATCCAAACTTCTGTGAGCCCACAAGATCACAGCATCTCCTCCAACCCTCATAGTCAATGATTGCCTATTCTTGATTTTAACCTTGAATTTTTTTTATCTCTCTGTTGTGTTTTAATTTAAGACTCTCAAAATTCAATGTCACTTGTTCTCTCTAAAGGCATCTGGAGGATAAGCTCCTAGAGTTTTTATATCAACCAACCAAAAACTCCATTCATATGAGTGCTTATTACTTTTATAATTTCTTAGAAGAATCTTTTGACAGTGAAAATGG